AAAAAAGAAACACGTTACTTGTTAGATTTGAAAAAAGTAGCGTTACTGTTACTCGTTACCTGATGGAAAAAGGAACGAGTGACTCAATATTTAATAAAAGTAACTAAATACTTAATATATTATAAAGTTCCCCCAAATAGTTCAGGAACCTTTGAAAAGTAATACAAATTTTTCTATATAATTATTATCATCGAATTTGCTAATATTAATTATAAAATGAAGGCTTCTAAAATCAAATTTTTATATAAAATATTTTGCCTAATCTATTAATTTTTAATGATAAAATAAATAATTGATACAAATCAAATTATGTGCATAATATATAGTGTAATGAAATTATTGTATCCATAAATTTTTATAGTTTAATTCACATTTTTCAAAATTGAACATTTATAATTATTTTTTAGTATGCGTAATATTTTTTATAGCAAAAATGTATATAATTTTTTATAAATATAATATTTATTAACTCATTTATAAATATTGCATTTTTTTTTATAATTCCAGTTTGCTTCAACATCAACATAAAAGTATTATCATTTATTTTGTTTTACTGATTTATTAATTATTATATTTATAATTTTTATATATATAAATTTTTTTAATTTTTCTAATCGGCTACAAAAGTGATTGAAGGACTAACCTCTACTAACTAAGCCCTAAAAATAATATAAGTTTCATCGTTTAGTTGCTTTCAATCAACTTTTAAGCGCGAAGTTGTCACAAATTTTTAATTTTGCTTATAACTTTTCCTTAAATTCGGCTACTATACGGATTGAAGCACTAATAATCACTAACGAAGCGCTAAAAAATGACATATGATTTATCGTTAGTGCTTCCAAATGTTCGGCCAACTTCACGGAGCTGATATTTTGATATGTTTTTATAAAATATATTTGCATTACACGTTTATCGAATATAAAACATTTAATAAAAAAATTAATCGTTAAATTATAGTATATTCTTTAGTCAAATACTTCCCTTACTTATTTTTTTTAAAACATGTGATTTATTTTGTTTTTACCTGATAACTAGAATAGAAAAAGGAACGTATGTTTTTGATAAAGGGAAGGATAACCACGTGACTAAAAGGCTATATATATATACCATTTAATAAGACGTTTAATATTTATAAGAAAAATAAGATTTTTGGAGAAGGCGAAATTACGAAATCTAACATATGTAAATCTATAACTCTCCAGTACAACCAGAGTTTGAAACCGGAACCGAAAAAGATTAGCTTTCCGGTTCTGACTCCTTTTAAAAAGTGGTTTGTTTACGTGTCCTAAAACTTTAAAAAAGTGGTTTCCTGTTCTTAAATTCGATGCCACTTTGAAGGATTCTGATTTAAAACTTCGTTTAAAGCAATTAAACCCTATAAAAATGAATGACACAAGATTTTAAACAATATATATATACATGTGGGATAATCGGAAAAAATGGGAGTCTAATAATATGGCAAGGAAAAAAAAAACCCGAACAAAATATGATAGAAAGCCGCGAAGACCTCTGGATCCCTATAAACAAGATATTGAAGGAAAAGAAATAACAGCGGCAGATATCTATTTTAGCCTGAGCAGATGTTATTTTTTTTTTGAGTTTTACGATAAATATTTAACACGGTTAGCGAAAATATATACTACCTTTTTTGTGCGTTTAATATAACAAACAAAAATTTTTTTTACATGTGAGTATTATTTTATTTCCTAAGATATTTTTTTTTTCTCGGTGATTCTTTTCCCCTAGAATCATATAACCACCCAATAATTATTGTCAGTCGGTTCCATTTTTGGAAAAAAACGACTACACTAACCCTATATATTTTAGCACAAAAAAAAATTACGGAAGTCTGGAAATTTAGCTCTCTGATGACAGAAATGCTTGGAAAATCTATCGATGAAATCTCAAGGCTAGCGTATTTTTGGCTTAACAATTTTAACTTAAAATTGGTGAAATAGAACAGTTTAGCCAAACAAACTTACTCGCATAAAGAGTTGTGATCCTGTATCTAGATATAAAAATGTGGTATCTGTATCTAGATAGATTTTTGATTTAAATATCGGTATCTAGATATTATTTTAGACGATGTTGTATCTAGACCCATTTAAAAAGTATCTTTTAACAACTCTGCTCGCATTTATATATTCGTCCATGAATTTTTTTTTTTGATTTTATGCCTTTTATAAAAATCGGGGAAAATAAAGGATCCTCAACAAATAAAACCAATTTTATTTTTTATAAATACAGAGCCACAAAAAACGAATATAAAATTAATAATTTATCATAAAACAAATATTAAAAATACATTTTAAAAAATAAATTCTCATTTTTTTCATTATCGTTCATAAATAATCTTAAGGGGTCACAAAATTAATATACTATCCAATAAGGTATATATATACTATTAGATTTGGCGTCTCGTGAATTAAATGCATTTTAAAAGTATACTTTTGCATATGAGTCAGTTATAGCGCCAATTTGTGGCATGGGTTAGGATTGGTGGTTAATTAATGGTATTTGAGAGATATCGATTAGGTAGAGTAAATTCAATTATTTTTCTTTGATAACGAATATGAGAGTTCAATGTGATTATAGATCTGGCTAATTATAATTTTAATGAAGTAATTAATTTTTTTTTGTTACAAAATTTTACAACACATCACTCGTCTAATTAACTTGTCTCAAAAATTTCGTCTTATTTAACTATTTATACAAAAAATAGCTGTAATTAATACAGATGAAATTTGTATACGTTGGCGTCAATGTGTTTTAATTACGACTTTTATTAAATCATTTTTTTTGAGATCGTTTTAATAAATTTAAAAAATCGGATCTTACCTGAATTATATTCTATCATGTTTGGAATACATCCGGCGTGCAGCTGTCAGAGCTAGAAAGACCTGTTTCAGAACAAATAACTTGTCATAAAGAATGAACCTAATTTGCCCGAAGGATATAGCAAATAAATTTAGCCTTCGTAAAAGGCATGATAAACGCTTAAAATATCATATTAGATCAACATTAAAAGGAACTGTTCATGCAAGGCTTGGCTACTAAGTACCTCCGCATCAGGTTTAACGAAATTTTGGGAAGGGGAGTGATCATCAACAGCTATTACGAGGTATCTCGGACAACCCTGTTTTTGTTAGGCAATTGGCGGTGTTAGAATATGCAAAAAAAATAACTATTTAAAAAAATACCGAGATTTCCGATGTTTATAAAATATGTCCCAATTTAGCGCTCTAGTAGAACGTTTGCCTAATCTAGGGAAGCCTATTTTTGAGTAGCACGCTATTTAGGTATAAACTTCGAATGGTTTATTTCAAAAAAATTTATTCGCCAGAAACTTATTTCAAACTCGAGTTAACAATTCCCATTCTTTATTTCTCCTTGATTGAGAATAATGAAGATTTATCTATCATTTTTAATACGGAATCCGTTAAAATACGACTTATACGAATCAGAAAATATTAATGCAATACATTATGAAGAAATACAAATAATTTGTTGGGAATGGTTAGGCATATATTATGCATAATCAATGTAATATTATGCGTTTTAAAATCAAAACTCACATGTAAAAGGCAAACAAAATATGGATGTCCCTCTAAAATAGTCGAATATCGGCGATCTTGTATTTGCTGCTACCCCATTTGCATGGGATTAGCACCCACGTTTATAATCAAATTGTGTAATGATATATACATATTATAGTATATATTTTTTTAAAGTGAAATTATTTCTCTACTTAAATTGTATTTCGAATTTAAATTTGTTAAATCGCAAACTTATTTTTTGTATTAAATAATAATAATAAATAAAAATTTATATTAAAAATGATTAAGTCAGAGGTATCCGAGATTTTTGCTAAGGAGGGAACATTATTAGATGAATTTTTTTCCTAACATTTTTTATTGGAGATCTTTAGTTCGATTTATTGTTATGCATTTTGGCTGTTTTATTTTTAAAAAAATTAACTTTTCCACTTTTATAAAATTATGTAAGTCGTTATTTTTAAAAAGTTATTAAATTTTTCTTTCAAATTCTTCCTTATGATATAATTGTATACATTTCTTTGGGGAGAGGGTGGGATGGAGTGGAAATTTTTAATCAGCTTTAAAAAGATATTTACGAGAAAAGGCAAATCCCCTTGATTAGGCGGCTCAAGTTATCTATATAATTCGTAAGGTAACTTTACAATGTAATAAATTACTTCAAAATTTAACGGCAACTAATGTTACCCCTTTCTTAAGAAAATAACTTTCTTTTAATAACAGTACTATATGTATTTACTATATAGCCGTATAAATAACGAAACCTCTCGACTTAACTCTATTTTAAATTTTAACTTTGTCAATCATGCAACAATAAAAATTCAGGAAAAATAATAAGTAATCGTTACGAAACGAAGAAACAATACGGCGAGGTTCTCCCCCTTGCGATTAATTAAAGAAAATATCTCTAAATATCTAGGATCCAATGGGAGAGCCGATTCCCAGACACGTGGAATAGGGTCGATTTTGGTGACGGGAAAGAGTTAAAACAAATTCTAGTACTATACACGGAGTGGGGAACTTTAACATACAATTTAGAATTTTTATGCACATTTTAAGGAATAGTATAAAATTTGTCCTTGTATAGTATAAATAGATTACATACTCGATTTATATATAAATATATTTATTTTAAAAAAAATAATTTATATAAAAAGAAATTGCGTTTAAATAATCGTTCTATCCTTTATGGTGTGTTACGTTTATAATTTAAACAATGACATATATAATACCTAGATTGACGATTCATTCATTAAAATGCATTTTTAAGCGTCGTTGAATGCAAATCAGCTGGTCCCGCCATTTTGGTAACACATATAGTAATTATTATCATGTTAAAAACTACTATTAAATTGGTAACTTGCTTCCTTATTATCTCGATGATCCGGTTATTCTTTAATAAAGTTTGCGTTGGATATAGGAATAAATTAGGCTCTCGTTTAAAATTTTAATAATGATTAGTCTAACCAAAATGGCGTCTCCAGCTGATTTGCATCGATGCACACTTTTAATGAATGAATAGTCAGTCTAGGTATTATATATGTCATTGAATTTAAATGTTTTGGGTATGTAATTAAGGTTATTAATAAATGGAAGATTACAACAAAAGCTACAAGAAAAATGAGATAAAAGATATGTAAATATTTCAAGAGTTTAGGACATAAAATTAAATTAATTTAATCAATATTGCTAAGTTAAATATTGCAATATATTCTTCTTTTATTAAATTAGTGAGCGAGTAATTTAATATGCGGGTTTTTAAAATATTTAAAAAATACGCAACAAAAAAAAATCATTTTTTTTCGTCGGACATAGTTTGTTTCCCCAAAAGTTTATATTCTTCCGCAAACTTGGCTTCACCCTTTTCAATGGCGTCGTCGATCCTTTTCAACTCTCGATCCATTTGTTCCATGGGTTCCATATACAAGTTTTCCAGGTCGGTTTGAGATATCTTGAAGGTAGCGGGGGGAAGAAGAGCGGCTGCTACCATTCTCCTTTCATAGATCATCAAATTGTACAGGGAGCATGCCTTGTCCTGATATTAAAAAAATAATTTTTTAAAAAAATGACAACAAAATCATTAACAGTGCATATTTCGAGGATAGAAATAATTTGTCTGGCAAGGATTAAAATAATCTATGTGCCCCATTAATCAATATTGAATTATTTTTTTTTGACAAATCACTTATTCTGAAATAATCTCATTCTATAGCAACAAAAAAATATGTGGAAATTTTTTTTATTTAAATTATCATATTGTCTTGTGACTTAATTTGCATAATAGTATAGCATAGATCATTAAGCCTATTTAAATTATATATATATTTATTTTAGAATTGTGATTGAAATAAATGTTAGTTAATTGATGAATTTCATATTGAGAATTAAAAATCCCTTATTTAAAGGTCTCAAATTATACATTATATTTTTTTTGTAAAAATAATACTTATAAGATTCTAAAATAAAGCACCACATTGCCTACAAATGTATTGAGGGATTATTTAGTAACAAAGTTTATATTTTCTGATCACCACCTTAGATTTGGGTATAATAATATAATTATTAAAATGATGTTTGAATTAGAATTGTTACTTTGTTGGAATAGTTTAGATATATGTTATTTAATATAAAGTTTTGTAAATTGAAGGTCTAATACCCAAGAATGATACTAAAAAAATTAAAACTTTTGAAAAGATGTATAATAGTAATCTAATTAATATTTTAAACAAAAATGTTAGTTTTACTGTGGCTAATGCTTCAACATTTATGCCTTTGGTTTTCATAAAACGTATAATATTGTTATCAAACTTGCTTATATTCTTTTGATCCCCCACTCCAATTATCAATGAATCTGATGGTGAAAAACAATATTTAAAAAATGTCATATGTAAATTAAAAGTATAAACTTAAGTTTATGATAAAATCCTTTAGATAATGGAATGGACACTATAATATAAGTCATATTGAATAATGTTTTCTGCAAATTTAATCAAATCCTATTAACAGGAAAATTTTGCACATTCAAAGTTGGACAAACAAAAGTCGAACTTTCCAATATGTAAAAATTAATGTTTTTTTATATTAAGCTTTACCTTTAAGCAGGGGATCATTATAAAAAATGGTTTTTAGTAAAGATGACTCAATTTTAAATAAAATTATACGACAATAAAATATTACAGTAGGTTTATGAATAAATTAACTAAAAGAAACTGGTATATCGCAGCCTTGAATCATTGATTGCAAAAATTGATGCTACTGGATCAGCAGAAAAATAGTATGGTGGTGGTAGACCACACAGAGATTGTACTTTAAAAAATGTTTATTGTCAAAACACTTGTATTGAATGAAGAAGACTGACCTAGCACTCACAGAACAATTTATATCCAGAGAAACTTGTATTTAGAAAGCATAAGAGCATTAGGTTATCCATTGGGATCTACAAGTAAAATATTTTTAAAAAACACAAGTCTAGGACTTCCCATCTGGTACATACCAAACAACTTCTACTAAAATACACTCAAAAGTTTGTCCATTTCATATGGTTCAGAGATGAAAAGTTATTTGCAGTAATTCCACTGATAAATCTATAAAAATTATAGGGTGTACATTGCAGTTTTAAAGAAAAAAAAACTAGTTGCAGCTGATTGATTGCTTCCTACTCATTCAAATTTCTCTAAATCCTTCATGGTTTCAGTCAAGGTATCAAGTTTTGGGTGCAAAGGGCTTATCTTTATTAGTCCAAAGGTGAAAACTAATGGTACATACTATTGTGACAGTGATTATTTCATATTTCAGCAGCACAGTGCTCCAGCTCATCAAGCCAAAAAAATAGTAAAGCTCTGCAGATTTTATTTCATCCACTCTTTAGCCTCCCAAAAGCTCTGATCTCAATCTGGCCCATTCTATATGAAGCATCCTTCAAGAATGTGTTTATCAAACCCACATATGCTACATTTGTGTAATCAATGACTGGCAAGATCAGATTATGGCAGACAATTTGTCAGCTCTGAAGCAATTTTGACTCAAATTAATTTTAAATGTTGACATTTTTGTCAAATTTTAAATCTTAATTAAAAAAAATGAATATTTATGTTAAAAAGTTCAAATTTGGTTTGTCAAACTTTGAATGTGCATATTGGACCATTTTAATGGAATTTGATGAAACTTGCAGAAAACATATCTCTCTCTCTTTCAAACTATAAAATTATATTGTTGCATATTTAGAATTGAGATTGATTGCTAAAACAAAAAGCTATCAGTTCTAATGGAATATAGTGTAGTTTCACATTAGTATATTTTTGATAATTAAAGTGATTCAATATTAAAAATTGTATAATTTAAATTTGTAACCATAATTAATATCAGGGAAGTAAAATTAAAAAATGTAAACTATTATATAATTATTGTAATATTAACCTAAATTGGGCTCTAATAAGTAAAAAAGTGCTAAAGATTTAATGGTAATATCATCAATATTAGCAACCTAGATAAAAATTTATTTAAGATAAGATATTTATATTATTTTTACATTCCAGCTCAAAACAGTTCGGGGTAACATAATTAATGGACCATATATGTTTAATCCATTGTTAATCTTGAATCCAGTGGCACTATAACTATCAATCATTATCACATCTTCAAATTTCCGATTTAAAATATCTACAGTTACCTTCTCGTGTCTCACAATATTTTCTGTCACATCGTATTTACGGTATCTTACACCTAATTTTATAACTTGTCGAAAATTTTTTAAACCATTAAACATAAATGAGTGTATGAATAAAATGTTGATAATAATAATGTATTTATAACCTAGATAGATTTTTGATTAAAATATCTGTATCGACGATGTATCTGTATCTAGATCCATTTAAAAAGTATCTTTTAACAACTCTGATATGTATACAATAAAATTTATACTCGGTACAATATTTTATGTAGAATTTATAGTGCAATATATAATAATTTTATATGTGCAATTCTTAAAATTCTACAACGTTGAGAGGGCGTATGCGCTTTATTCCGTAACCCAGTATATTTTAATGGCTACTTAAAATTATCTTTATTCATTGATAAAACAATATAATAAAAATTCCCAAGAATTAAACTCTTTAGAAAACTATCATGAATAGACTATACTTCTCTAGGGTATGTACCTTTTAAATATATATATATATATATATATGATTTTTAATATACCCTTATTTGCATTAAATATAATTTGATATTGTTCTATTTGTATTTAATTTTTTTTTAAATGAAATGCTTTTTAAAAATAAAAAAAATTTTCAATATCGTTTTTTATCACATCATATTTATTAATTTTAATAGAATGTTTCATTCTTTTTATAAATAAATAATAAATAATAATTTAGTGCATTAAAATAATAAATACTATGTATATTTCCTTCAAACATTTTTTAGTCAAATATTCTCAATAAGCCTCTCTGTGAATTTACGGTTTCTTGATGAACAACGTAATGTAGTATCTGTATCTTCTTCATTTATTGGTACAACATTTCCGGAACTTCCGATAAACTTCGATGAGTCAGAATAAATGAAAGATCTCTTACCTGATCTGCATGTTTACGCAATGTACTGTGGTGGAAAATTTCAACGATATAAGAATTGAACCCTATCCTATCTTTAATCCCTCCCTTTCTCCAACCTTTAGTGTTCTCATTACTTAATCACATGTTGTGAAATCTTTTCTCTCCTTTTCGCATCATGATTTTGATTTTCTTTTGCCTTTCATGTTCAATTTGGTCTTATCCAATCCAAACTCGTTTTCAATTGTCTTGACATAATCTTGGCAGGAAATCTCCCCATAGAGCTATATCCCCCAGTTGATAGATTATACCTACAAAAATACGAATCGAATCGAATAATTTATTATTCGTATTCGTATGAATAATAAAATGATTATTCGATTCGAAAATTTTATTTACCATGAATTAAAAAAGATCTATTATAAAATTTATTTTGTAAAATTTAACTAAGGATAAAGACAAACAAATTTTATTAGTGAGACAAAATAGAAGCATACATATATAATATATTTATATACAATGTGGAAAAATCAATATAATATTCATATTTATAATGTAGAAGATAAATCTGACAACAGCCAATTTTTCAAACATAAAGTTTTTCGGATTGTTTCCTCCTTTAACGACATTCTGTATTTTGTAACCATATGAGCTCCAACAGAAAAAAGTCGCTCACATGGGGTTGAAGATCCCTGTATCGACAATATGTCCCTCGCCATTTTAGATAACACGGCATTAGCAATATTTTACAAATAAAGTGGTAAAAACTTTAAGCAAAAAGTCAAATTTATGATTTCTCCATCATCAAATGAAAGAGAAATATCAGGTTTGCCCGTCATTCTTGATGTGATGGGATTAACAGTTTATTATAATTGTATATGTTATGTGTTATATAAATTACCTTCTTCGTCCATCTCTATCATAAAAGAAATTTCTAAAGTAATGGTCTATTATGAGATAAATTAAAATGAAGTTTCAAAATTTGGCGCAATTTTCATTATTCCACTAGGAGATTTTATTAAATTGAAATAATTTCAAATAATTCCTAATAATAATATATGATTTATATATGATTATTTTCCAATATATATTAATACTATAAATTATTTTAGTCGAATAATCTCGAATAATTCGATCGAATTATAGATAAAATATTATTCGACGAATAATATATTTTCCTTATTCGAATTCGATTCGAATTTTCGAATCGAATAATTGTGTTATTCGTATTCGTAAAATACGAATCGAATATCGAATAACAAATAATTCGTTTTAGGTATGTGATAGATTGTCAAAACATTGACTCGCTCCTTGCGTAATATCGACCACTCAAAGTTCGGATTACGCTCAGCTAATCCATTAGTTTTCGGATGATAGGGTGTCGAACATATAGCGTATGTTATTTAATTTACAGTACCGGTGGAACTCCCCAGATATGAATTGTGGTCAATTATTTGATGCAATGTATTTTGGTATTCCAAACCTAGGAAACTATTTTTTTAATCATTTTATCATAAAATCAGTAGAGATATTCTGCATTAGATCAACCTAGCAATTTGAAATAGGAATCGACAACAATTAGCCAGTGTTGCAAATACACTGGTCTAGCAAAGTCAATAAGAATTATATCCCAAAATTCCTTAACTACAATCCAAGAATACAGGTATTTCTTGAATTCAAGATCTATTTTTCTGGTACCCAGAGCATATATTGATAAAATTTTCTATATCAATATCTTATCTGGGCCTCCAACAATATTATCTAAAAGTAGATTTCATTACATTTTCATCAGGATGTCTCATATAAATTATTCCTAGCTGCATTCCTTAATTTATTAGATTTAGCCAATCTTCTGTTCCATTCTATTATATTCCGAGTTAACTCTTCCCGTCGATTATAAAAATTAACAATATCTCTACCTTTATGACAATTAAAGTTTTGCCAACGAATATGTGATGCTATTATTTTAAAGTTAAATCTTGCTTCGACGCTTTTCGTAGAATATTTTCTCACAAAGCATGTCAACCAAATTAATACCTAGAATATCCAAGGCATGTTTAAATTCTTAATTTTCTTCTACGTCTAATATGAATCCTTGATAATGCATCTGCGATCACTTTTTTTCTTCCAAGCCTATATTCAATTGTGAAATAATTTGTCTTCTAGTCCCAACAAGTCAAACGATTATTAAAAGGTATTTCACGTTTTTCTTTCCAAATAATCGCTCTAATGATTTGTGATCAGTTCGAAGTAAATATTTTCTACCATAATAAATGAATGAAATTTCTCAATACCAAATAAAAAAGATAGAGCTTCTTTATCAATCGGAGGGTAGTATTTCTCTGATTCTGAAACAAGATAGTTTGTCCTTCAGTTTACTAATGACACAGCCCCTAATTCTGAATCAGACGCGTCGAATTCCAAATTATCCGCAACTGCGTGCTATAAGGAATTAACATTTCCTCGGGTGACAATAATTTTTTAACCTCTTCAAATGAATTTTGTTAATCTTTCGTCCACCGCCAAGATACTTTCCCCCTCATTAATCTATGAAATAGCGCAGCTTTACTATTAGCCTTCACCTTTGGATTAGAATAATCACCCTTAAAAATGATACCGATTTTAAAAAAATCGAACCTTATAAGACCAGCCGTCTGTAATTTGTATAAAACGATTTGCAAATTTTTTATGTGCTACTCATCGTTTCGACCAGAACTAATAACGTCATCTAAGTATGCACACGTCATTTGACAATCTTTTAACAACTCATCCAGGTATCCCTAGAAAGTAGGTGCACTTGCCAATTCAAAAGACATTTGTTGATAACAGAAATAATCCTTATGAGTCGCTATCGTTAGAAATTCCTGACATTCCGATTCTACTTCCATCTGTAAATACGCATCCATCAGATCCAAGATGGTAAATTTATCACCATCTTGGAATTTCTCTAACAAATCATCTAAAATAAGAATAATATGATGGTCATACAATAAACACGGGTTAAGCGTAACTTAGTTATCAACGCAAATTTAAATATCGCCATTACTCTTTTGCACATTTAAGGTTGACGTTGACCATTGTTCCCTAATTATAGTCAAATCAATCTTTTCGTTAATCCCAGAGGCCACTAGCCGGTCACGGGCTGGAAACGATATCAGTACAGCTGTATCCTTTAAATGTATTCGCACCGCAAAATCATGTATATGTCCCATCTTAACATCGAAAATTGTTTTATGGTTATTAATCAATTCTAGAGTAATTCGATGTTCTAGATTGATTCAAGGAAGCATTCTTAACCGAATTCCGCACTTGTTTTTTCTAACTTGACGAGGAATTTGTAAATTTAAGGTTACTATTCATGGTAACCTGAAGAGAGGCATCCTAGTAGTCTTCATTATTACCACTGGAAGAGTCCTTGTCCATGATCAATCTTAACGTTAACTTGGGTCTCGCCCTTAACGTCTAACGGATTGTATGCGGTCAATAGACTGGTTGGCATAATTTTTGGCCGTCCAATACTTGTCCTTATATTACGGATTAATGAGGCCTATGCACCGGTGTCAAAATCAAATTCATCATTAATGCAATTAGTTTTGTTTGGTTCTATCAATTTTGTTGAATCTTCCATGTATTATGAATGGAATCACTTGATGACACTCTTGTATACTTTAAATTCTTTACAAATCGAAAAATGACAAATTTTTACATTTGTTACATGCCGCATTTGTAGCTGGACATCTTTCACGATTATGAATATATTCTCATTTATAATATGAGAATATATTATTAATCTTTATTAAAAGTATTATCTATCGGTTATCCACTGAGAATTATTTTTAACAAGCTATTGCTTGTCTGAGAAAATTTTTTTTATTAAAATAAAGTAATATGATGATCATATATTGCCTCAAAATCGGACTTTTTTACTCTACGATAAAACAATTAATAAATAATTCTCTAAAAATAAAAATAGGATTCATTCTGAGTCTAAATCATGCCATTCAAAGTCAAATGCTGGCGCCGTTGTTACACGCCAAATTATTGCACGTAAAAAAAACAAACTATAAAAAGGATAAAAAAATATACGCAACAAAATAAAGAAAAACAACACCAATTTTAACGTCTCTCCCAGCTGTTGACTGCTGCATTACCCCCGACCATACGTTTTGCCATAGTAGTTGTTTTCAATGAACTCTTTTTCTTCTTTCGTCTTCTATTAAGTC